GCTTGTTTCAACAGATGTGAGAGATGGTATATGTTTTGCAACTTTTCTTCTTTTTCAAGCAAGAGTGTGTGTCCTCCCAATGCAAGCCTGTGCAAGCCCTATATCATGCTGCACACTTTGCTCTTGGTTACTGGAATTAGTGGATTTGATCCTGCCTCAAAGATCTGGCCCCATGCCTCAAGGATTTTGTTTTGACATAAAGTGAAGTTTAGGCAAAAATGGCATTGTTGTTTTTTCTTTTTAAGGCTTAAACTAGTGTATAATGCCCTAATGACTAAGACAATACCTTAACTCAATGGATATGCATTAAATTAAGGAGTACAAATTGGTTTTGAGGCCTGTAATGGTGAACCAAGCTACCTAGATCAGAATTGCAAATTGGTATGAACATGTATTGGCCATGGACAAAAGTGAGTTTTTTCCAACTTCAAGCATTCGATTCTCTCTAACCACAAGGGTGTTTGAGGTGTTCTTGGACAATTTGGAAAGCTTGGAACATGTACTATAATCCATATTTGAAATGCAACTTGAAACTCCAAGTGGAACTATGTGAAAAGTTGCCAAGAAGATGGGTCAAAATCCTGCCTAGATTAGGGAAAATTTTCTCTAAGTTAAAAGTTTTAGGTACCCTTTGTTCCGAAAATCATAACTTGAGATACAAGCTTTTTTTGAGAAAACTTTGTGAATCAAAGTTGTAGACTTTGTTATGGACTACAACTTTCATGTTTCAAGTTTTGTTTGAATCCATTTTCATCTTGGTGAAACAAATGGGACAAAGTTAGGAAAAAATAAGAAAATTTCATAACTTAGAAAATTTCTAAGTTATGAAAATTTTTCCATTTTAAACCCTAATTTGCATTTTTGGATTTCTTGATGAACAAGTTTCATAATTTGACATGTATTGATGAAAAATAACTCTTGGCACTTGATTTTGACCAAAAAGTCAAAGTTTGACTTTTCAGTGTACAGTCAAATTTTGATCAGTTGAATGAAAAATTCATCTGTTAATCCAATGCATTTGAGATCTTCTGAACTTGTTGAATGGGTCAAGACAATGTCATTGAGTCCTTGTGTCCATGGTTGAGCTTGATTTTCCATTGGTTAGGTCAAACAGTCAAAAATTTCCTTTGTACAGTTAAAACCCTAAAAATGACCATTTTACCCTTTTGGTGATCTGATCAAATTTCTTGTGGAATTATGATCCAAACTTGATTATATGACATATATGAGTTCATTATGTTGATGTGGGTCAAAAATCATGAAGTTTTACTGTCAATTGGCCACAGTTGACTTTTTCCCCAATATAGTTGATTTCTAGGTCAACTGTTTAATTGACTGGGCAAAAATTTGAATCAAGACTTGAAACTTGGTATGGATAAACTTGTGATTCCAACATGAAGTATGAAAGTCACTTTGGGCATTGTGGGTCAAAATATCCCTGTGCAAATTCAAACCCTAATTTAGGTCAACAGCGCAAGGAAGTGTCTTGAGCAGAGCAAACCCTAGCTTGATCTTCAATTCCAATGGTCTGGTGATGAGAAAATGTTGATGAATATGGAAGGGTAAATTTTGGGGTACAACATAAGACTTCAAAGGTAATCCCAGCAAAGAATTCAAAATGTCTGATCTGGGTGACTTTCATATTTCCTTGGCATTTAATTCTACAAGAGTAGTAAAGGTTTGATGATGCATTAAAGAAGATATGAAGGAGAAATTCTAAAGAGATTTGAGATGAAAGAGTGCAACTCGACATCGACACCTAATGAACCAAGGTTGAAGCTATCGAAAGATTCAGAAGAAGATGATATCGATCCAACCTAATACAGAAGAATTATTGGATCATTGAGATATCTTTGTCACACAAGGCATGACTTAACATACAGTGTAGGTATGGTAAGTAGATTCATTCAGAAGTCAAAGGTATCACACCTAGCAGCGACAAAGAGAATATTGAGGTATCTGAAAGGAACTTTCGACTATGGCATTCTTTTTCCAACAGTTGATAAAGGAAAATAATACAAGTTAGTGGAATATACTGATTCAAGTTGGAGTAGTGATGCTGAGGATCGAAAATCTACAGTAGGATATGTGTTTATGCTAGGTGGTGCAGTAGTTGCTTGGAGTTCGAGAAAGGAACCAGTAGTGGTGTTATCATCGTGCGAAGCAGAGTACATAACTGCTTCTCTTTGTGCATGTCAAGCAACATGGATGGTGAACTTGGTCAAAAAAATTACAAGTAAAGATCATGGAGCAATTACCATGAAGATTGACAGCATGTCATCTATCAACCTGGCGAAGAATCTGACAGCACATGATCGAACCAAGCACATCGAAATAAGGTTCAACTATCTTCGAGAGCAGGTAGCAGATGGAAAGATAAACTTGAAACAATGCATAACTGAGAATCAGATTGTAGACATCATGATAAAGGGTGTGCATGTCAAAGTATTTAGAAGGCTAAGAGTTGTGGTGAATATAGATATCTTAGACACGATGAATTAGGTGGTGTGTTGAAAATATAATTTCTTGTGTCGAAGCAGCTTGCTCGATAAAAAAAAGGAAGTGTCGAAAAAATTGTGTCAAAATGTGGAAACAATTTGTTACACACATATTTGATTTATATCTAAAATAGATATTTTGAGCTTTTATAGTTTTGGATTTTGGCTTAAAGAGCAAGCTAATCTAAATTTATAAATAGTGAGAGTAATCCATATTTTTTATAATCAAGTTGTATTCACAATATTTGCAGTTGCAAGTGAATAACAAAAAATTTCATAATTTCTGAGCAGAGAGAAACTCTGTAGAAAATCATTGTCTCCTTTTTTTTCTTCTTTCATTCATATTTTTCATTGTCATTGTGTGGTGATAACAATCTTGTTCATCAAAATTGATAGAAATTCATCTATATTTTAATAGATTTCCAACATCATTTTCTCTCATTTCTATCATGTAAATTTATCTTTCATATATTATTATTGAAGGACAATTTTATAAAAATCTTCATAATTTCTAATTTTCATACAACATTCATTACTTTTTCTTAACATGTCAAAAACGACTTATAATAAATATGAATAAATATAAGTATGGAGTACACATGATACAAATGTTAATTGATGCAGCATCATGTTGTATTAATTACCATACTTTTTCAAATGCAACCTAAAATTTACACAAACATAACATACATATATAATAAAATTTCACAATCCAACATACAAAATAATATCACTTTGATGAGTACGGTTGGATATAGAGCTGACAAAATGAGCTAGCTCATATGGATTGGTTCGCCCAATCCAAAAATCATAGAATTTAAACTTTCAAATTAAAATTCATATTTTTAAGAGTTTTTTTAGCTTAGTCCTAAAAAATCTATTAATTATTAGGACTAACCCGCAATGGACCCTGAATAATCTATTAGACCAGCATAGTTATAAAATTTTTAAAAAATAATATTAATTTTTGTATTAAATTATTCTAAAATAATATATTAATTTTTCTCACTTCACTAAATTTTATCTCTATTCTATTCAATCTTTCTCTTTTAAATATTATACATTAATATAATCAACTTTATTTCCTCGTATTCTTTTAGTTTCTCTTATATTAAATATTAAATATTATTTTCTACAATTTAAACATATATGATATTTAAAAACCCATTATAATATTTATAAAAGATAATATAGTAATTAAAAATATATTACGTTTAAAATAATATAAAATTTTAATTTATTTATAATAAATATTATGAATTTTTTTAAAAATTTTTTTATTAAAAAAATACTCGTTTAAAGCCAGATAATCTGAAATCTATCTAAGATCAGATTCAAGTTCGGATAATAATTTTGAAATCAATATATTATAATATAGAGTTTTTTTATCCAACCCTTAAAAATCCAAGTCCGTCATGGCCAACCCATTTAAAATCCCATAGTCCATGTTAATAGTTCTAGTTGAATAAGATCAAAAGAAGAACCAAGTTAAAAATCATCAAACAATTTTTCTAGGTTATTCTGTATCATCTATACAAAAATCGTTAAACTTGTTTTTTCTTTCACCAAGAAAAAACATCAAACTTATTTAATTTTTCATATCTGTGTAAGTCATACATAGTTTTCAAAATATATCCTTTAAAAATTTGATATAGGAAAATCATCCAATAACTTCATCTACACCTTGAGAGAGAAAAAATCGAAAAATATGAGTTGATATATGCAAAATATAATTACTCTGATAAATATATTCATCAAATATAAAAAAATACTTTTAAACCTAAGCATAATCATACTTAAATTAAAAGTAGTATATGGAATTATAGGAAAGAGATTATTATAGCTATATTCAAAGTTGTAAGAGAGAAACAGGCTGAGAGGTAAGGAAGAATAGGAAGAAGAAGAATTATATATATATATATATATATATATATATATATATATATATATATATATATATATATATATATCTAACAGAAAAGACATAAATAAGACCATGGTATAGATCTAACAGAAAACTTCAATTTAATTTTGTTTAGGATGTAGAGACCTTAAACTTGATGAGATCTATGTATATATAAATATATAAACAGCATAAAAACAAAAATATACATAGATTTATGAAGAAACATATTTGATTAATTAAGAGAGTTCAATACAAACCAGAGATGAAAAATTAAACTACAACTACTAGCAGCATAGCTGAAATTAAGAACATACAGAACAAAGTTCATAATAATTAAGTTCACATCACTTTTCATGGATACACATATAAACCCTAGATATATCTAGATTCAAAATCTTTACCATGAAAAATGAAAACTTGTAACCAACATGAAGAAAAAGTTAACAAAAAGAAAAGAAAGAACACATAAAAGTAAAAAGAAGAGTCAAACTAACTTGCTTGAAGTAGCAAATTAATTATGAATCGGACCAAGATGCTTGATTCCCCATAAAAGAGAGTTTGAGAATGAATGAAAGTACTGATGTACCCTTGTTTCTTCAGTCAGAAACTATATAAGAAAGTGATGGTAGTAGTGATGGTGGGGTGCATGTAATAATAATAGGGTTAACTTTTTTGGTTGATGAAGCAATACAAGTTTCTGAAAAAGAGAGTGGAGTTAGATCTTGACCTTGTTTGTGAGTTGAAGTAATGATGATGGCTTTAGGTTTGTGGGGGTGGTTGAGACCTAAAGTGAAGAGGATGATGTGGGAATAATGATGATGATAGAGAAGATAACAAGAGAGAGACATGATGATGATGATTTCTGGCGTTGAAATAGAGGTAAAAGCACAAGAGGTTCAAGGATTTTGTGCACTCTTTTTTCATCTCTCTGACATTGTGGAAAGAGAGAGTGTGTGTATCTATTATGAAACCTATATAAGCTGGTCTACACTCTATGAATAAATTATTACTCCACTTCATTTTTCGATTTTTTAAAATAAACATTTTTTTTAAAATAAAATATCTAAATAACTAATATATTCAATTATTTTTCAAATAATTAACAATATTTCAAATAATTTTTTTTTGCATGTAAGAGATGACATCACTCCCTCTTAGGCATGTATTTAAAATTTAATTCTGTTTATTATTTATGGCTCATCATTTGTGTATTAAAGAGCAGACACAATTTCTTTGATGCATTTATTACTTTTAACTGGTGCATGTGACTAAAAAATAAAGTATGCTTATGCTGGAATATGCTGGAATGGTGTATGCTCTTAAATACACAAAATATGTGTCACATATATACATTGACACGACAATATTGTATATGCTAGAAACATTGATTTATAAGTTAAATTAAGAGGGTATATGTTAGTAGCATTGATACATCGTTTTTATGACAATTTTTATTGTTAGAAACATGGTTATTATGACAATTAATTTGAAATATTGATTATTTGAGTATTTTATTTTAAAATTTAGTTGTTTGAGAAAAAATTCTTTTTTTTATTAAGATAACGAACTATTGAAATTGGATAAAGCTGACAAGTTGAATTTATATTATATAATATTATATTTAATTTTATTTATAAGAAAAAGTTAATTTTTTTAATATATATATATATATATATATATATATATATATATATATATATATATATATATATATATATATATATATATATATATATATATATATATATATATATATATATATATATATATATATCAAATATATTATTTATTTAACGAATTTAAATTTTTTTTTTTTTATAAATAGGATTTGAGAGAGTAATATATTTAAATTATAATTTTAATTTAGAAATTTAATAATTGAATGTCCTATCTATTTTAAATAGAATTATTTAAACAAACACACTAAAATTTAAAAATAGTATATATTTAAAAAAAAAATAGACTTTTTAGAAGAAAACCAAACTTTTTGAATTAAAAACTTTTCTTTTACTCCGTATAATATATTACTAGATAAATTTATGAATCGTAGAATGTCAAATTTTAACTTTTGTTTTAAGATTTACACAACACTCATGATAAATTTACAAAATGGGAGATATAACATAAATATCATATGAGATAATTATAGATAAATTTATAATTACGTTGATAAAATGCTCAAATGATTTCACTGTGGTAAATATGGTCATACTTCTTCTTCCTGTTTCATAAGAAAAGATTAAGAAAAGATTATGAAATTAATATGAAATGAATTCTAAAGGAAAACATATATTACACTAACCGCTAAAAGATCAAAAAAAATTGAGGGCACCAAAAGTTAAAACTTATATCTATAATTCAGATATATTTTACACTTTCAAATTCAAAATGATATCTCAACAGCAGCAATTCAAAACACATATTTGAAGGTAAAATTATCTACTATTATTTTATTCTTAATAAATAGAGTTATGTTTTTTTAGTGCGAATAATAAAGGGTAGAATTGTGTATTCTAGTACCGTTGGTAAGAGTCTTAATATCATCATTGATGATATTTTACTTATCGGAGATTTAAAATATAATTTACTTGGTACTAGTCAATCATATGACAAAATTAATTAAGTAGTGTTTGATTATTCTATATACAAAGTTGTAAAATCGAAAAAACAAACAAAATATTTTAAATAGTTAAAGAAATGGAAATTTGTATGTTGTCAATTTTAAAAAACTACCTTCAAATGGGGTATATTGTCTTTTGATAAGTGGAAAAATTACGTAAAATACATAGATATTTGTTAATTTATTTTACAAGTAATTAACATAAATCTTCGATTCATCAATGAAAAGTAATAAAATATCTATTTGGACTTTTTACTTGCATATTTCTCAAAAATAGGTGAAAAGTATTGAAAACCACCAAGCAATATGCAAAGATTTTTGCCAACATCATTTTCCTACAAGTAAGACTCGCTAGGCCATGTTCATAGGTGCTCTAGGTGAGCACATGCGAGAGAAGACTTCAAGGCTAAGTTACTTCATGGTGAATGAATGGTTTGTGTGATAGTCAAAGACAGGTTGTATGCCTAACGAGCTACAACGACTAGGGCTAGTTACATGGTGAGCTGACATTTCTTAACAGGGAAAAAAGTAGGCGCGATGTTATGAGAAGATGCCTAGCTTTCTCAAACCTATAAATAAGAGTGTCATGTTCAGCTCAAAGGGAGTTTTGGTGGATTTAGGGGAGTACATAAAGAAAGTAGGTTCACCTTGAATCTCAACATGAGAGAATAAGGAGAGGAAGATCGAAGGTGAAAGCGTTGCTCGAGGGTTCGTTGTAGATGGTGCTCAATCTCTCACTTTTAGGGTTTAACTATAAAGCTATGATGAGTAAGCATAGCTAATGCTCTTTTACATGAGTTAGATGTAATCATCTTTATACTCATGTATTTATTACGATCATATCATTTTGTCTAATTCTACTCAAGCTTTAATATTGATAATTATTCCTTCATAATATTTTTTTTGGATTAGCTACCTAAAACATGTTCTCACGGTACGACTTAACATACGAGATGTGTTAGTCTTTACTAGATCCAAGACTCCATCTATTGGATGCTAATGCCTAGAGATAAGGTTAAGTTTAATACTCATATAAATATTAATAATTGATATCAAAATCTCTATTCACTACTGGAACTTAATGTTGTTATATTTAATAGAGCGAGAGACCGTCTATTAGGTAATACAACTGATATCACGCTGTTGACATTAAAGATCAACTGCGATGAGAGCAATAGATGAGCATATTAATAATTGAGTAGAAAAGTATATTACTAACCAATGGTTATACATGAAGATAAAGATGATGAAATCTAACTCCAATAAATTTTCTCATTGTTAACACCAAAATATCAATTTATTTTCTGTCATTTTATTATCTGCAACCAAACATAAAAAAATATTGAATCAGTCTTTAAAATACAATCAATCTCTGTGGACACGATAATATTGCATATACTATTTGCACTACAACATATACTTAATAAAGAGTAATAATTGTGGCTATGTCATAGGAGAATAACTCATATTCACACTGACGACTAAAATAATTTGGTCCACAAAGAACTAATAATTGATCTACCAAATTTGCATTTTGAAAAGAATTAACTATGTGATGCATGTCAAAAGGGTAAACAAGTAAAATCCTTTTTTAAATCCAAACATATAATATCTAAAAATAGTGTTGGGTAGAATAAGGATGAAAAATTGTCTATAGGGGGGGGGGGGGGGGGGGGGTTTGAATAAATCAATCCTCAAAAATAAATTTAAATTATTATTTTTCTAAAATCAGAGTTTTGTAAAATTATTTTGCAGCAAAATTTGTACAATAGTTGTGCATTTGTGATTGGAGCGATTATGATATTAACATGATTATCATTGAACAAAACTAACTGAAGAGCAATGATCAGAATAAGCCATCAACACGTTAATTACAACAATTCAATTCACACGAGGTGTATGATTTGAATTCACTTAATTGATAAAGAAATCTACGATAATAGTTTTTACATATTTAATCGCCAAGAAGAGTATTCAGAGACTTAGTCTAATACAAACCTAAACATATACAACAAATCGTTATTAGTTGGTAAAATCTAGCAACATATAATTTATGGGTGTTAGCTGGAATTTCGATGGTAGTTGAATTAGAAAAATAAAGATATTTTCTTTATAAGTTTCGACTGATCAAGAATATGGATGGTACAAACTTGTTGAAATAATTTGATGCACTATTCCAAACAAGCACATAGGCAACACTTTTTTTGGCCATAGACATCAGTTTAAAGCGCTACCTAAACCAGCGCTGCTATAAGTAAATGCAGCGCTGCTATAAGTAAATGCAGCGCTTTAGATTAATGTAAAAGCACTGTTATATGTCCCCTTTAGGCAACACTTTTACTTTAAAAGCGCTTTCTTATGCACCCCTTTAGCAGCGCTTTCTCTTTTGAAGCGCTTTCTTATGTACCCCTTTAGCAGCACTTTCTCTTTTGACAACGCTTTTGGTTATCTTTTACGCATCGCTTTCAATGTAACTAGTGCATACACGAGCATAAAAAAGATGGACAGGGGCTGACACGGGAGCCCGTGTCACGTAACACGGTTGTGTCAGATTGGCTGAAACCAAAAAATGCAGAAAAGTTATGGACAGGTCCTGACACGGGTGCCCGTGTCCACTGACACGGCCCGTGTCAGCTCAAGCACCAAATTTCTTGATTTTTGAGATTCTTTAGTTTATTTTGGACATATTGCATTGCTTGGAAATGACCTAACACTATCAAACCTTTGTTTTCAAATGAAACCTCAAAAACATTTTTCCAAACAATTAGTTTTTTTATAGTTAACTTAGACTTAGGTTTTTCTTCAATGAAATTAATTACAAAACCTTTTCTATAAAAAACCCTAAAAAACAATTTCTCTCACTTTACATCTTCTTGCATATTTTATTATTTTTGCATTATAAATTATGTAATTGTCAAAGCCTTGTAATAGTAATTAGGATTTACTTTACTTGTCATCCCCATTTGTAAATTTATATCCCCCATCCCCAAGTGATGTAATAGCGTAGTAATTTTACTTTCCGCAATTTATCGCTTTCATATAAATGTTAGTAATTAGGGTTTGTATGGAAAGATAAAACCAACAAGTAGATAACCCTAATCCAAGATTAAATGCATGTAAATCAGCACACTTGCACACTTACACCCTTAGGATAATTCCACTTTGTTGCCTTATTAAAATGGTCATGTTATGCATGTGGGATGTCTTAGCAAAAACAATCAAAAATAC